GAAATGTTCTCACTTCACTAAACACAATTAATAAATGAAACACATGATAATCAAAGGATTAGCTCAAAGAGTGATTACTAAGGTTTAATCCAAAAGTAAAGGGATATCAAGTTTTTTAAATAGAAACTAGTTAAAATCGATCAAAATCTTTCATATCAGAATAAAAATAAGTTACAGAAGCATGAGATACCTCAGAGGAGTGAAAGAAGTCGAAAACGGTTGAAAAACAAAATATGTATTGTGATACAGAGCAATGCACCGCAGCTCATGCACGCTGTGCTGCGACGTGTTGCTCTCTGTGCCACATACCGTGGCTCAGGCGCCATGCGCCGCAGCGTGTTGCATGAAAATTTCACTGATTTTGCTGTCATTTGATAGCAGAATCGGAGGAACTTCTGACTCACCCCGATTCTCCATCCAACGTCTGAATGACGTGATCTAGGTGTCTATGAAAAGCTCTTTATGTGAACTAGCTAATAGCACAGGTTTCACTTCCAAAACAAGTCACATTAGGAAGTTGGACACCCAAACACATTTTAACCACTTTTCAACACTTTTACACAAAATGGGGGTCCAAAACCCTCAACAAGTGCCAAAAGCTTTTCCTAACACTTGGACCATATCCAATGGACCTAGGACTATCAGTACAACATGTCACAAGCTTTGAAACATCAGTATAACTAAAATTCACTCCTCAACCCTAATTTACCAAAAACAATAGGGAAGGTAATTTGCCATTACATTTCACTCAAATCATTCAAAACATGCTTAAATCTTTATTTCTACACTTGTACTAGTATTTTGGCCCTATAAACATATATATATATATATATATCAACATACACAAAGGCTAAGGGCTCAAAATACAATTCTAACTTTTTCAACAACCAAAATATTGTAAGTGTAGTGATATGCATCCTAGAATTGACAATTTATATGCTATTATACAACTAAATCTAAACTAGAGGCATATAGTAGGAAATATGCTAATTCCCTGCCTCTTTAGTCTTCTCCCTATCAACACCAGAGCTAGAGCTTGAAAAATATTAAAGGAAAGAGGTGAGTCTAACCACTCAATAACCAAGGTTAAACCTACCCTATGCGGTTATATATCAATTATAAATAAATACATGCACAAGGAAGCTAAGTATGTAAGATAAGTCTACATATATCACAATTTATCATTCTATAACTTTTTTAACTCTCACAACTAGGTGCATTGTCACCATATTCTCAGATATGTGACATGACCCATGCTCATGCGACTTGCTACCACTTAATACATGTGACACGTCATATATTTACTTAGGCAATGATCAACCAATCTTATATCTTCCTTATTTCCTCAGACTAAAATCGTGGGTTATAACACTGATTAGGGCTCTGTCCGTATGAGTGGACTATCCAAGCTCACCAATCGTGAGGTGTGACCCAGCCATAGATCACAGAACTCACTCTCGGACCACAGCTTCTCCCATTCTCGAATCCTTGGGGTGTCTCATACCCTATGCTATTCTCTTCATTGAACCGGTGGAGATAGTTAAGTTCTAGTCCCTCGACAAACTATAGGATAGTCCCTCGACAAACAGTGGGATAAGGCTATAGCCCCCATGTACCGGAGGGCAGCCTAATTACCATATGAATTTTTTCTCTACTCCCAAATCCCTAGGCGAACTCTTGCCACTGATCATGCAATAATCAATACTTACTTATGTTTACTTTTTCGCTTTCATTTACTCACTATTATAACAACCATGTTGGGCTCACGACCTTGCGCTACCCAAGTGTGTATTCTCATCATTTTTTCAAAATTCATTTCATTACTAATATACAAATACCTCTACACATCATCACATTCATTTTTTAAAAGTATAAGCATTTTGCACTTTCAAGCCAAACATAGCTTTTTCATGCGCTCAATGAAACTAATATATAGCTTTTACTTTAACAATCAATCCATGCATGTAACATTCATCATTCATGTTCAACAAATAATTAATCATCAATTAACATAAAACTACCCAAAGTAGAGTTTTTTCCCTGTTACCTCAAACCTTTGAGAGGTCAAAGGTTTACCCCTCAATCAACTAGCTTCCAAGCTTGAAATTCCAATCAAATAGGTGACCAAGAGCTAAAACTACAATTAACCAAGTTGAATTCCATCAACATAACAAACTCAAACATTTAAACCCTCAATCTTTACTTCTAAATTGCCCAACTTTCACTCTACAAGAGGTGGAGCCTAACCATTGGGTTTAATAGTTACTTTTAGCCCCCAATAGTATTAATGAGCCATTAAATCTCCATTAATGGCATCACAAATTTCCAACTACCCATACAATAAATGAGATTTTCGAGTATTAATAGTGCCCAACAACCCAAGACATTAAAACCCATTATACCTATGTCACGCCCAAAAAAATTAAAGCATGACCGACACGGAATATGGAAACAAAACCTATATTCCGAATGCCTTAACTTAAGAAGCTCTAATTTTTAAACCCTGAAGGCATCTAACAATAACATGAACCATTTTCAATATCAATAATAAAAACAAAAGATTCAATATTTTCAAAATAATTTTGACAAAACCTCCATCTAAAAATATGAACTTCCGAAAATAGTACAAGAACATTTTTCAATATAAATAGCATCAATAGGGAGTTCTACTCCTTCTAACAGTCTAATTATGCATAATACACATAAAGGTTCTAACTATAGCTACGTGGAGCACCTAGAAAAAGATTTACTAAATACTAGAGCCCAAATTAATTTAAAAAAAATTCCATCAATCACTTCTTCACTTCAACTCAAATGATAGCCCCTCGATGGTCAGCTAGAGGTATATGATCAGGCATAATATCTGAGACCAAAATAATTTTTTTTAGTGAATAACGTCCCAACAATAAATAATTTAACATGAATAAAAAGAAAAGTTTGAAATAATCATGTAAGTTAAAGAGACAACAATTTTCATAAAAAAATGTATAAACTTCAGAATAAAATGGCTCTATAAAATTTTGAATAAAATCTTAAACCATTGAACTATCATAGCAAATGTTAATATCACTTGATTTTAAGAAGTTACATAAATGAAATAAATACTTGTAAATAAATTACTAAATAAAAACCAGTGGGATACAAATTCACCAAATAATCAGATTCATAATTACAGGAACTTATCAGAACAATTAACAAACGTGGACACACAATCTACGAGGATAAATAACCAAACGCGGCCTGTGCCACGAAGACAAATGTGGACACACAATCCACGAGGGTAAGTAACCAAACGCAGCCGAAGCCATGAAACAAACATGGACACACAATCCATGAGAGTAAAGCTAACCAAACGCGGCTTGAAGCCACGAAATCAAACACGGGTGCAAAGCCCACGAATCACAAACGTGAGAACAGAGCTCACAAAAATCAAACTAGCTAGTCGTTTACAATGACGCGCCAAAGGCTAACGGAACTGCCGTTAGCAACTAGTGTTCTGTATAAAGTCCCCTTCAAATTCATTTTCAAACATGCGAGAAAATCATCACTTTCAAAATAAAATTTTCATTTTTCAATGTCAAACTTGCATGAATCGTTTTTCCATAGCAATTCAATAATTTTCAAAATGAAATCCCATAATCAAAGTCCAAACTTGTATTTATTAAATAATCAACATTTCAAAAGTAATAAAGATAATTGAACAAAATAAAGAAGTTTAATCAACAAATTATTCAACAATCACATCATTGTTATTAAAATGATTTACATAAAAATGTAATATCTTAGTAAAGGAAATTTTTTTTTTAATAAAATCAGTTGGGACGCTATCCACTTACCTGCAAATACTCCTAGCTACTAAAACTCACTCCTTTACACACCTATCAAGTTCCTTTTTCCTCCAAATATCCTAAAAAGTTATATAATAAAATTTTAATAAACTGTCTATAAATTAAATAAATTCCCTTCCAACACTAATATAATCAAAATCAACATATATAATTCAAAGTTCCCCAATGCTCCTCCATTTATATCCAAAATTCCTCTATAAAACTTTAACCATAGTCACTTCCTTCGTTAGGATAGGACTCTGTTATGCCTTATGTCAAACGCCTCAATTGTATCATTTTCCACCCATTCAAATAAGCTTTTTAACCTTCAACCTCTTGTCTCACAAATTTTCAAACATTCATGATTAATTTCATCATACTTTCCAAAACTTTTAATTCTAATCCCGACTTTCCTGGAAGAGAATAATTACCTGCCATATAGTTTAATATTTTACCAAAAATCAACAAAATCTTTTCCTTTCAAGCATTTTGCCAAATACCTTACATGCTTCCATATTTAAATTATAAAGCCAAGTTAAACTCATGTTTTCTCAAAACTTGATAATGTACTAGAAGCCACACGTTCATTTAACCTTTACCTTTTTGAATGTTTCCACAAAGTGCTTCAGAGTTCAATTTTCAACCAGCATTCAATAATATCTCTAATACTTCCCCTAGTCAAATTCCAATCCTTAAGAATTTTAGTAAGCATTTAAGCAAACATTTCGAGGGCAATTTCCATTAACCAAGCCATGCGACAAGCATCCAAGAATTTCAACAACCTCCAACATTTAATTCCATAATTAAAATTCAGCTAAACACCATAATCAAATAACTTCCAGCACTAACTGAAACAACACCCCAATCCTTTCCAAAAAAAAAAAAACGCACCACAGCAATAATGAGAAGCAGGGGCTGCATCAATCGGTCATAGAGGAAAGAATGGTTCGGTATTGCTGGTAAATTCGAAGAGGGAAAAGAAAGAATCAGTGTCTTACTTCAAACTGAAGTTCAGTGGCAACTACGATACCTCAGCCCACAGACAACACCAAAGAAGATGAGAAAGGCTTACTGTTCAACGAGGAGGAGGAGCAGAAATTGAAGACCAAAAGAGCGAAAAAAGAAAGCTTGAACTCGAAAAAAGAAGAAGTAATAAGCCTTTTAGAATTGGGCATGAATGGTGGGGTTCGAGTTGTGGACATTTGTGGTATGGGTGGGGTTGGGAAGACAACTCTTGCCAAAGTTGTGTATGATAGGATGTCTCCCAATTTTGATGCTTCTCATTTCATATTCAAAGGAAATAATGAAGGTAAGAGCAATTGGCTATTACCTGGCAAGAATATTCTCCTAGTTCTTGATGATATTGATATTTATCATCTAGATGAAGTAATGTTGACTATAGATGAAAACTTGTTAGGAAAAGGGAGTAGAATCATCATAACGACAAGAGATGAAGGACTCCTAAAGGGTTTCAAGATGCATCATATTTATAGGGTTAAACTATTGACTAATAGGGAAGCTGTTCAATTACTTTGTAGAAAAGTTTTCAGATGTGATTTCCCTATAAGGGGTTATGAAGAGAAAATAAATAGCATACTTGACTATGCTAATGGCCTTCCATTAGCAATTGTAGACTTTGGCTCATTGTTACATGGTAGAAGATCAGCTTCAGAATGGAGCACCAGTGCCTTGGTTGAATTCAAAAAGATTGTTAACTTTGTGGTAATGAAGGTCCTAGATAAAACTTTTCTCGAATTGAGCTTTGACTATCAGGAAATATTTTTAGACATTGCATGTTTTTTCATAGGCAAGGAGATTGAATATTTAGAAGGAATTTTGAGGTGTTATGCGGTAGAGGATATACAACTTTTGATTGACAAATCACTCATGACAATTATAGATAAAAAAATACAAATGCATCGACTATTGCAAGAAATGGGAAGAGAAATTGTTCAACAGCAATCTCCTTCTAATCCAGAAAAGCGGAGTAGATTGTGGAATTTTGATGACATTGATGTTGTTATGCAAAATGACACGGTACGTCTTGCTAACATTTTTATTTGGTTGAAACATTAATATTATAATGTTCTAAAATTGAGGCAACCTCACGTTACATCATGTTATATAAACTATTTATTGTCAGGCAACTTTTAAAGTTGAAGCTATAGTCTTGGATCTAGAAGATTCACGAGAGAAGAGGTTAAGGGTTGAAGCTTTATCACGTATGAGCAATCTTAGACTGCTCATATTTTGCAATGTGAAATTTTCAGGAGTTTTGAAGAACCTTTCATGGCAACTCCGATATATTTCATGGCACCAATACCCTTACACTTCTTTACCATCATGTTATCGCCCATATTTTCTTACAGAATTGAATTTTCCTGATAGCTGCATCACAAGTGTATGGGATGAGCATGATGGAGAAAAGGTAATGTTGATTGGGTGCGCACTTCTATTACTATAGATATTTTTGGGAAATGCATGATTATCTTCATTCACGCAAGAGTAAATGCAAATGACTCGTTTATAAGCAATAATCAAAATATTTTTATCAACTAACAGCACACACACACATATATATGATTTCTTAATGTTAAGATATTATACATATTTATGTTTATGTTTATACCTATATATGTATCATATGTGTGCGAAGTGCTATGATGATTTCTTAACGAAAAATTCTATGCCTGCCACTAGAGATGAGAAAAGGTAATTATTTGTGCATCTACACTTTTTTCTTTCACAGGTTTTCTGGCACTTGAGAAACATGAATCTTCGTGGCTCCAAAGATTTAACCAAGATGCCAAATTTCAATGGATTTCGAATACTTGAAAGGCTAGATCTTGAAGGATGCATTAAATTATCACAACTTGATGGATCCATTGCTGATTGTTCAAAGCTTAAGTTCTTGAATTTGAGAAATTGTGCTAATCTTGTTAGTATCCCCAATAAGTTATTTTCTCTATCCTCTTTAGAAATTCTGAATTTGGCTGGTTGCTTCAAGTTTGCCAATTGTCTCAACTTTGCTCCTTTTGAAGAGATTGCTGAAGGAGAAAGTATTCAGCAATCATCTTCTCCAAGAAGACAGAAGCTATGTAGAAGCAAATCTATTGAATTGCATTATATGGTACTCAGAAATGTTGTATCAATAATTAATTTTGTTTGTCAATTTCTTGTATCTCTTATTCTTCTCTTACTTTCTCAACTCCGTGCATATTTGTTTCTATATTAGGATTTATTGTTCACGAGAAATTATAAATTGTTTTTAGGCCCACACAAGACTTAAGAGAAGTGGCAAAAAATTAGAAAATTCATAATCCTAGTATTTGTTTTGCAAATGTACTTTATAATTTTTTTGTAACTCACCAATGTTGTTTTCTCTATATATCTCTCCCCAAATGTATTGCATGTTATGAAAAGTTGAAAACTCACTTTTTCAAGTCCAAAATATAGGAAACGCAATTAATTAAATGCTTGTTCTGTTATCGTTCAGAGTAAGAATTGATTGATGTAATAGCTAGGACGTAGCTGTCCACGGTTTTCTTCCTTCAATTTACTTTTATTACCATGTGTAGAAAAGCAAACTAATCTAACCGAGCTTCAAAAGTTCAAAATACACGTAAATTATGGTGTAAAAACAGAGAAATTCTTAGTTATACTCGGTGCATCAGGTGACTTGTATTCTTTCTAATAAAAACATTTCAAGTAACATTATTTTAGTCCTATATATATAACAACATCTTAATTTATAATATTTATATTTTTTAAGGGAAAAAACCACCATCCCCTCCCAATGTCCCCCTTAATGGTTTTTTTCATAAAAATATAAACTCGAAAACATTATAAATTAAAAGGTTGTCACGTAGAATTAAAATAATGTGAGTTGGTGAATTTTCATTCAAAAAAGCATAAGCACGGGTGTGCGTAACAATTCTCCTCCCCCACTTTTTTGGGTGGCAAAAAACATTTTTCTTAAAATTTTCTCCACCCCCCCCCCCCAAAAAAAAAGAGTTTGAGGAGCCAGCAAGGCATATATTTTGTTACATTGTAACTAATTCACTAACATGACATATAAATTCTCTTGAAATAAACAAATGATAAAGGGAGAATTTAAAATAAGGATCATAAATATGACTTAATTACTAGTAGGTCCCAAAAAATTTTAAAATTTTAGTTCAGTCTAGGAGATAAAGGTAAAAATAATTTTAATTGTAAAAAAATCAAAGTACCTTTCACTTTTTATGTAAAACTACTAGTTGTTAATTTTTTTATTTCACTTTTTAATTTATTAATATGAGTTACAAATTATATGAGCTGTCATGTCAATAGTTACATAAGATTTGACATTAATTGTTCAATCATAAGCAACAATATCAGTTGTTAAATTTTTAATCTTACTTGTTAATTTACTAATTTCAGTTGTAAATTACTGACAAATCTTGTAATTTACTAACATTAATTATAAAGTATTGACAGTTCTTGTAATTTACAATTAATGTTAGTATTTTAACAAGTAAAGTTAGCAAATTAACAACTAATGTTACTGCTTGTTTAACAAACATATGTAATTTTCAAGTGATATTGATAAATTAACAACTAGTGAATTTGTATAATAAGTGAAGGGTACTTAGATCTTTTTACATTTAAAATCATTTTCACTTTTATCCCCTTATAGTGAACTAAATGTTTAAAATTTTTTGGAACCTACTAGTAATTAAGTCACTCTTAATTCTTATTTGAAATTCTCCCAATGATAAAATAGTATTTTAAAATTAGGTTATTACTATGAAGTATTTAGAGATTTATTTATCATAATTTTTTTTATAAAATTATGTTTCTAACCCTCTACAAAATAATAAAAAAATGCAATTATTAAAATCTAAACTAAAGTTGTCAATATTAAATGTAAAAATATTAATATACGATGCGTAGTTATTTTTACATGAGAACTCCCTCCCATTTTTTTGCAAGGTGGATATTGGGTGCTTTTAAAAAAGAGAAAATGATAAAAAAAACCTTCAAATTATATAAATGATAATTTGATCTCTTAAAATGTCATAATATTAATGAAGTCTCTAGTGACTTCTTTGTCAATAACTTTTTTGAAAAAAAGATCATTTTATCCTTACTAAAAATAACAAGACCTAATTACAACTCTTATTTAAGGAATTACAATTTTTGTTTCAAAACTTATTAAGTGATATTTCTGTTATTAAAAAATAAGAGTAATTTCTATTATTAAAAAACAAGCCCTAATCACAATTTTTATTTAAAGAATAACAATTTTGTTCTGTGAATTTTCAAAGTTGAACAAAAAATCATAGTTTGTCAAGTGTAATTTCTATTATTAAAAAATACGTTCTCAAAATAACAAACTTCATTCATAACTTTTATTTAAAAAATCATAACTTTTTTTTAAAGAATTACAAAAATTAAACAAGAAATTATAATTTATCAATAAGAGTAAAATGATCTTTTTCTTGAAAGAGTTATTGACAAAGAAGTCCATTGAAACTTAATTAGAATTATGATATTTAAGAGATAAATTATTATTTATATAATTCAGAGGGATTTTATTATCATTTTTTTTTAAAAAAATTAATGAATGTTTATGCTTTTTAATTATTTTTTAAATCTACAATCTCTGTCAGCTTTTGAAAAAATCAATGCAGAAACTCTACTCCATGCATTAGTTTTAGAAGAACAAAGAAAGGCGACATAGAAAGTTGAGTCTACCGACACAATGACTATTTCCTACATTGCTTTTTTTTTTTTTAGACACTAAAATTGCTCAAAAACTACGTTATCAGCCTCTTCAACCCTCCACTGACTACTGGAAACGCTAAAAAGACCTTCCCCACCAACATTAAAAGTGTTCCTGCACTAGCGTTTTGCGGGGGACTTAGGACCGAACAAATAATCATTCCACGTCAAATGAGAAATTGAGAACCACTCTCTAAATAGCTAATTTATCTCCCCCAAAATCAGTGAGAGACCCAAAAAAATAAATTAATAGAAACATAATTTATGTTTAAAATAAATATTCATATTTTTTGTAAAAATATTTTAAATGTTTTTAAGGATAACATAATAAAATTAAATACTAATAACAATGCATACAATATAAAATTATAATAAAATAAAAAACTATCTTTTAATGGGATTTTTTTTGGTCATTTAGGTTATACAAATTTATATAGGATAAGTGAATTTTTGCAAGGGGGTAAGTGATTTTTTTTTTTCAATGATGTGGACAAATGAAATATTTGATGGCCGCATGTACAATTTTTTTGGTTCTTATCATGTAAATTTTCCTAGCTTTGGGGGCAATTATCCCCCACTAGCTCCATCATAGGTCCGTCAATGCCTATAATTGATAAGGTTAAATTTCACAAGCATTCTTAAAAAATTTTAAAAATAATTTAGTTTTTTTATCGAGAGACAATCCATTCTGAATAATTGTTCTTTAGTTTTAACAGTGTGGTTTCTTTATAGTAATAAAAATAATGAATTTTAAGATATGAATACGTGTACCCTACAGTCTTCAAGTCAAGAATTGAAAAAAAAAAAAACCAAACAGTCAAAAGAAGAAAAAAGGACAAGAAACTAACAAAATTTAAAAAAAAATATAAACAGTATATTTTATATTTTTATAATAATAAAAATAATGAATTTTAAATTTAAAAATTAATTTTTTAAAATAAAAAATTCAATAATTCGGATATTCATCTTGGCCATAATAAGCTCGAAGCTAAAGGATATTAAAGCCAGATTTAATTATATGAGTTTTTCTATGTGTTCAAACTAACCTGAATAAGTTGATTTGAATTGAGCTCAATTCAAATAAACTAAACTTACCTGAATTATTCGCTATTCTTAAACGCCCAAACACAAAATAATATTATAAATTGATATGATACATTTTTGGAGTAAATGTAGCACTTGCCTAGCTAGCTTGTGCATTCTGTGAGGTATCTTGCAGCCAACATGTGCTAGACAGCAAATAGATATAAAGCTCAGTAACGTGCGGAAAGCCGTTACCCTCTCCACCAACTTTATCCTTAATCAATGGAAAAGCAAACAAAAGTCATATTCTCATGGACTTTCTTCATGATTATCATTGCAATAATGCAATTATTTCAACCATTAAAGACTAAAAATTGACATTACCTATCTAGAACGGTTCAGATATTTGTTTGGGGCGGAAGAGGCGCAGTGAAGGAGTGGGGAAGCCGACTCAAGAAAATTATGGGACACGATTTTGATACTTGTATTGAAAAAATTAATTGCATGTTTTATAATTAAAAAAATGTATATCCTTCTTTACTATTTTTATTTGATAATGCAGAAGTTTAGATGAGTTTATCCTTCTTTACCTTATAATTTATAAATATAACCAAACAGAATATAATGCTGCGGTCTTCTGTCTTAATTAACGCGTGGAAAGCTTTTATTGTCTGAGATCTTGTCCGCTACAAGAAAAGGAAAAATATTTAAGTAGATCAGGTGATTCATATCATTTGTAATTTGTCCAATTAAAATACTTTAAGTAATTTAAATAAAATTTTGTGTGATATTTTTTAATTGATTTTATTCTTATAATAGAATATACATTTGATTTATTACCTTTTATTGCTCTATTATTATTAAAATTAAAATTAAAATTAATTTACATTTAATGCCATCTAAGTGTCATATTTGTATTGAACATACTACAAATGACATGGTGCACTAGATCTATCTAAAAATTTCTCTAAGAAAAGAGGTCTTCTGTTGTTGACATAACAAGAACAAAAATGTTTTGTTACATTATTATTTTACATTTTACATTACGTGAGGTTGATTTGAATAAGTGTCACTTTAGATATTATCTTTATTTTTAATATTATTATTACTAAAAGAATAAATTATAAAAATTCTAAAAAATTTAATGTTAAATTTAAATTGTTCCGCACACGTACCTCTGGACAGTAAATTTGTGAAAATTATAAAAAATTTATTATTAAGTTGAATATTCATTATTTTTTTATATCAAAAATAAAAATTAATCTGTTCAAATTAAATTTACATTATCTATTTACCAAAAAATCTATATTATCTAAATGATTGATAAATAAAATTTTGAAATTTTTAAAATTTTTTATTTAATAAATATTAAATAAAAATAAAATAAAACTTATAAATTTAAACTATATATATTAAAAATCTTAATGCTTCAATCAAACTACTTCCTAAGCACACTGAGAGAAATACGTGTTGATAAAACCAACTTTTCTTTCCCTGCTTCCTCCTTCCCTTTTCAGTTTTACCCTTTTCCCTTAGAATTATTGAACTGTTCATGTCAGGTCAGGTGAGAAGAACTGTCAAAACAATTGGAGGCACAGTCAATTGCGAAAGAAAAAGGGAGAATTATTTAAAGTTACATGTCAATTAGTTAAATATTTTAAACTACATGAAATGTATAAATATCTCTGAAGTCCCACGTGTCTTGGATGTGAATAAATTACCCTGTTCAGCCGGAAAGAAGAAGAATCGAATTGAAATCCTTCCCTTCTCACTGTGTAGCACCGCCAAGGCGAAAAGCGATAGCAACTCGAACAATAGGGATTTAAAACACTCAAAATTTGACTGGCTTGAAAGCAGGAAAGTCTCATCGGAGAATCAGTTCCCTGCTCTATCTCATCACCTGATCTGATCTTAATGGAGTTAAAACAAGCTACATCTTGGTAAAACTTTAAATGATCTCGGGGTGATACGATCTTCTGTGAATCTTTGAATAAGAAGATGAAGAAGGAGAAGTTCTTTTTTTTTTTTTTAGAGGACATGCGAAATCAAAATATGAGGCTGTTTGTGTTCTAGAGAGAGCTCAAGAACAAACTAGATTAAACCCACCTGTTGCTCCTGTAGAAACAAGTAGCACTTTTGGAGATCCCATGAATATGGGATGAATGTGGAGGAGGAAAGGCAATATATTTATGTATATCATATATGTGTGCTAAGTGGTTGTCCGCCAAGTTTTTAATATATGAAAACTGTCACTAGAGATGAGAAAAGGTAAGTAATTGTGAGTGCCCACCCTTCTAACTTACAGATATTGTATGGCTAATTATTTGGTGCAGTTTTTTCATTCACAGTATTTCTGGAGGTTGAGAAACATGAATCTTTGTGGCTCTAATGATTTAACCAAGATGCCAAATTTCAATGGATTTCGAAAACTTGTTTCAATGGATTTCAAAAACTTGAAAGGCTAGTCCTTGAAGGATGCATTAACTTCTCACAGCTTGATGCATCCATTGTTGATCATACAGAGCTCAACTTCTTAAATTTGAGAAATTATATCAATCTTGTTAGCATCCCTAATAAGTTGTTTTTTCTAACCTCTTTAAAAATTCTAAATTTATCCGGTTGCTTCAAGTTTGCCAATTGTTTCAACTTCTCTCCTTTCGAAGAGGTTGGTGAAGGAGAAACTACTCAGCAATCATTATCTCAGAGGAGACAGAATCTAAGTAGAAATAAATCTATTTAAATGTACCATAAGGTACTCAGAAATTCTATATCAATAATTAATCACGTTTGCTTTTGTCATAATTAGTATATGGGAGCCTCACAAGTAGTGTGTAGTTTGTAAGTTCAATGTGCTCTCAATAAAAGCACTAATATGACAAGTACAAGCCTAATGGGAGAACCATTCCAAAAGACTAGCCTGTTGGGTGGGAGAGCCTTTTGAACTTATAAACCCCACACCACTTGTGAGGCTCCTCGATGTGGGACTCGTGACAATGCCACCCGGTCAAGAGTCGACGTCTCCAGCGACTTCACTCCACAGCATTTTACTCGGCCTTTTGCCAGTCAGAACTTTTATGGGTAGCCTTTTTCATGACATCGGCCTCTCAATTAAAGCACCAATGTGACAAGCATAAGCTCAAAGGGAGAGTCCATCCCAAAAGATTCACCTATTAAGAGGAAGAGCTCATTAAACTTGTAAACCTCACACCACTTGTGAGGCTTTCCAATGTGAAACTCGTGACAGCTTCTTGTTCATCTCATCTCTTTTACTTTCTCAACTCCTTTCTTATTTGTTTTTTATATTACGATTTATTGTTCATGAGAAATGACAAATGTTAATTTTAGGCCCGCACAAGCCGTAAGTGAAATGATCAAAGATTAGAAAACTCATAGTATATTTGTTTTCTCTATATCTCTCCAAATGTATTGTATATTATGCACACTGGCTTTTACAAGTCCAGAATATGTGAAGCGCAATAAATATTGTTTACTCTATTATCCTTCAAAGTAAAAATAGAATGATGTAATGGCTAGGATGTAATCGTCCACTGTTTTCTTCCTTCAATTTTATTTTATTATCACGTGTAGAAAAAACAAATCTAACCGGGCTTCAAATACACGTAAAGTAGGGTCTAAAAACATAGAAATTCTTAATTCCTGTTTGGATAGGCCACAAGAGTTAATTATATGAATCTAAACCATGGTTTTGATTTCAAAAAAGAAAAACCGAAACACTTCCATTTTTTCATATTCAATTTTTCCTTCCAAAACTCCATTCTACTCTAGGCCACTTGGGGCTGCTTTTCATTTCCAATTATATCTATTGGTGACGTTATTGTTTGTCAGAATTATTTCATCTGCGTTGTATATAAAAACATCTGTGTTTTTTTTTTTTTGCATTTTATAATTATTTCATCTTATTTACTTTGTCTTCTGCGTGAAATTGTAATCATATTTCAATAATAATTTATTTAAACTTAAATTAAATTATTAATATTATAATGTAACTTAAATTTTTATATATAATCAGCATATAAATATGTATAATAAAAAATTATATAAAAATTAAATGCATTGCTATTATATACTCCTTCCATTTAAAAATATAAGGCATTTTTAACCGAATCTCATCCCCAATAAAGTAGTTACCTACTTTCAAACTTACCCTATCTTTCTATATTTATTCCTATTAAACACCTTACAATAAATATAAAGTCATTATCAATAGAGGCACTTTTGAAAAAAAGGCAATGATTACACCTCGAAAGAGTAAAAATGCCTTACATTTTTGAATATCCAACTTCTCAAAAAATGCCTTATATTTTTGAATGGAGGGAGTATATATGTATATTATTTTTTAAATACATAAAAAATTAATAATATAGGTGTTTTTGCTGGTTTTGCTTAGGTGCGCCTAGGGATGAGCACCTGATTGACCGAATTATATAAAAAATTTGGGTCAAATAGAATCAAAATACATGAGCAAACTGAATTAAAACCGAACCGAATTATCATGGTTCAATTTGATCGGTTTATTTGGTTCATAGGCTTTGATTTTGATCTATGGAGTCTAATTATTTGTATATTCTTCTATCCAATTTTTTCCCTTTATGTTGAAGGCCCGACAAAAAAAATAGCAATCTTATACCATAATTCATGAAAAATTAAATAAAACTTAGTACTATTGCATTAAAAACTAAATTATAGAAATAAAAAATTAGAACATTACATTAAACAAAAAAAATACTACTACTGCAAGTGGTAGAAAGATGTTTCTTACTCACCTAAATGAAAATTTATTCATATTTTTAAAAATATGAAAGAAAAAATATGATATATATATATATATATATAATTCGGTCGGTTCAGTTTATTTGGTTCAAGGATTCCCAAACCAAATCAAACCAATCAACCAAAATTTTCCTTAAAAGAAAACTGAATCAAACTAAAAAACCAAATAGAGCAAATCAAATAGACAAAATTTAATTCGATTTGGTTTTGCTCTCCCCTAGGTGCGCTAGAGAAGTATGTCCTCAGACAGTGCAATATACGTAGCTTCTAAATCGATCAAACGGTGAGTTTTAGGGTCCTAATTTACCACAATTTCCCCACAGGTGAATGCTTAAAAAAAAGAAATGAAGAAATAAAAATGAAAAAAAAGGAGACTTGTATGGTGAGAACAAACATAATATTGATAATAATAAAAGAGAAATTACATAAAATATAAGATGGAAAAACTAAAAGAAAAGAGATGGAGCACTATTAGTATTGTTCTGCCAGGAGCTAACGTTTTATTGGTTGTTGGAGAATTCATTGCTATCTATTGGAAACAAAATGCTCTAAATTAAAGGAACTAAGTCAAATTTGCTCAAGGAGGAAGTGCCTGGTTTGGACAAACCGAGTATTGAAACAATTGGAATGCTTTTGGATTGATTGGAATTGGAGTTGTTGAAGAGATTGGATAGCTTGACATTGGAAACCCTCTTGCCGTCCTCTGTTCTTTGTTCTGCTCCCTTCCCAGTGGGTCACCGGCGTGGGAGTCGAGTTTACCATGTTTGCCACTGCAAGGAGCTCGGTCAAGGTCATGATCCATCTTAGCCTCTCCTTGTTTCTACTTCATCGTGTCTCCCTTCTCCCCCTCCTCTCTCTGATTGCTCAATGTCTTGAGGTTCTCTCTCTTCATTGTTGCGGTTTATGTACTAGTGTGTGGCGGTTGCCCTTCTTTCCTCTCCTCTGACCAAGGGGGCTGTTCTAGTTTGAGGGAGCTTCAAATTTTTCTCTCTACTTCATCGTGGTTGGAAAATATTAGGACAAATATTTGAATATTGGAAAGTATTCTCTCTCATGGATAATGAATTTAAACGGGGTAACATTTGAAAAATGTAATAATGTACCTTATATTAAAGACTAAAAATGCTTTTAGAAGATACTTTATATAAAGAGGGATTGGAGGGCCAAAGAGCCATATTACCCCTTTTCCTCTTGATTTGAGATTAATTCATTATGAAATTTTGGCTTATAATATGTTGCTATTTTTTGGCCTGGAATCAAAATTCTGTTTACATAGACTATTGATTTCTCCACTTCTCCTTTTACCTCTTTGACGTTGGAATTTTACTGATCAGATCAGAATTTCTGATTTGATATTTTATAACTACAGCATCATTAAGATGCAACATTTTTTAAAAAAAAACCTAAATCATTAAAATTTGATTTTCTTACTCAATAATTTGAAGAAAAGAGGAGAGGAGTACTGGACTACTGTAGCTATAATTTAGAATTTTTTTCAATAATTATTATAGGCTTCCTCAGAGAAATGTCATGATCTAGACGAACATCTTTATAAATGTTTCAATTGACGTGGACTGTTCACATGGGATTTAGACGTTGTACTTCTTTCTTTTCACATGTTTAGGTTATATATTTTTTTATTTATAGTAGGTTTATATATATATATATATATAAGATTGATATTAAAAAATTAATATGATGGTCCTGTAGCTGTTCCAGATTTTAATTTGGTTCCTCCTCAGAATCCAATTTAATTTGATTATATAGAACTGCAGATATTTTAATTTGTATTTGTTTCCCTACCATAGAGGCATCAAAACCAAAAATGACTCTCTGTGCGAATTGACGCGTATTATTCCTCAGTCTTGAACCTTAATTTTTGTCCATACCTTGTATCATTGAGACTTTAAGGTTTTAACTATAGAAAAACCAAGAGTATAAAATTATTCACTCGTTTTGTGTGCGTGTATGGATGTGTGAACGACTAGCCGCGTTGTCTTGACCTTATCAAGCTTGTGGATGTATGGCTTGGCATAATTAGTTGGCTAATAGTATGAAGCACGTAGTGATAGACTGATTTTACTACTGATAAATACCTAGTTAGTAAGTTATGTGGTATACAACATGTTTTTTTTAAAAAAAAAATTAGGTATTCATTGATTCATATAATATTGAGCTTAAGATGCCGGTTATTGCTTCAATGTATTTTAAAAAGCTGATATTGAAATGTGCCATCATATGAACGACAGAGGACAAAATTCAAGTATAAAACTGTCTTTTATTCATTTGGTTTTCCTCCGGAGTTGATAATAAGAGAGAATAAAAAAATCGCACAAACAATTAAAATAACAAGGATTATGGAGTTTGCGAATACATGCCATCAAGTTGATAATAAAAAAAGATTAACAAAGAGACTAAACTATATTGAAGGAAGCCTCAAAGAAGTACTCACCGGTAATAAAATATTAGGGCAATTGAGAAAATAATATTATCTCAAGTTCCGTACTGCGTGACATTTTTATATTTTAATTTAATTCCACTGGCCAAACACATTACTGGCAAAAATTAATTTAATAAATCTTTGTTACCTAGCAGTCAGAAGAAAAGAAAGTACTAGAAATCGACAAAATCTTTAATTCAATTCTTATCAAAGGCACACCCACTTGCCTAGAAATTAGAAACACTTCATCATATCTCTTCCGAGGAAAGCTCTCAGAAATTTGAACCTCAACAACTCTCTTTTTCACATTTCAAGGTTCTAGTTTTATAGGTCTCCTTCATTCGCAGAGCCATTAAAAGATCTTTGAAAGCTCAGTGAGTAGTTGCGGCCCCATTCTATCCTTTGAAAGTCTATTGAAACATGGAGAGTTTCACTAGTGGATCATCATCATCATCATTGTCATCGTCATCAAGGCCAAACCGTGTTTATCTGAGTTTCAAAGGAGATGACAGAACTTGCGGATTCATAGATAGGCTTTGGGCTGCTCTTGAAAGTGATGATTTGAAAACCTTTTGGGATGACAAGAAGCTTGACCCGTGTGATTCCATCTCTCTCCCGCCTCACTTTCTCAAAGCTATTCAGCAATCCAACATTTCCATTGTTGTCTTCTCCAAAAACTATGCTTCTTCTATATGGTGCCTTCTGGAACTCTCCGAGATTGCTGCACGTGTCCATGAACCGCGACATACAGTTTTTCCAATTTTTTATGATGTAGATCCATCTGATGTACAGAATCAGAGTAATTCTTTTGAAAAAGCTTTCGCCGAACATGAAAAAAGATTCAGTGAAAATTTAAGCAATGTCCACAATTGGAGGTTAGCAATGAAACGAGTTGCCCATCGGCCTGGTTGGTACACACCACACAAGTGAGTAATTTATTTAGTCTTGAATTTTTTTCCCATCAATCAGTAAAACAGGCTGTTGAAAATAAGCAAGTAATTTTGTTTTTTGTTTTTTCTTCAGCCCATGGCAACAAACTATTGATGACATTGTTAGAGAAGTGAAGAAAAAAATGCGAGAATTAGTTCATGTTGATGTTGACATGGTGGGGATGCAATCTCGAGCCCAAGAAGTAAGAAAGCTTTTAGAATTGGGTGTGAATGATGGGGTTCGAGTTGTGGGCATTTGTGGTATGGGTGGGATTGGGAAGACAACTCTTTCCAGAGTTGTGTATGATATGATCTCTCCCATTTTTTATGCTTCTCATTTCATATTCAATGGGAATGATTTTGTTAAGAGCACTAGTCTGCTACCTGGGGAGAATATTCTCCTAGTTCTTGATGATATTAATATTTATGATCTTAAACTAATAATTCAGATTATAGATGATAACTGGTTAGGCAAAGGGAGTAGAATCATCATAACAACCAGAGATGAAGGAGTCCTAAAGGGTTTTAAGATGCATCATATTTATAGGGTTAAACCATTGACTAAGGATGAAGCTCGTCAATTACTCTATAGAAAAGCTTTGAGAAGTGATTTTCATGTAAGGGCTTATGAAGAGCAAATAAATGGCATACTTGAATATGCTAATGGACTTCCCTTAGCAATCGTAGAATTTGCCTGCTTCTTACACAGTAGAAGAACTTCAGAATGGAGCGCTAGTGCCTTCGTTGAATTCAAAGAGGTTGTTAACTTTGTGATAATGAAGGCCCTCAAAAAAAGTTTTCTAGAATTGAGCTCTGATTCTCAAGAAACTTTTTTAGACATTTCATGTTTTTTCATAGGGAAAGAGATTGACTATGTAGAAGGAATTTTAAGGTGTTATAGATATTGGGGAGTGGATATACAGCTATTGATTGAGAAATCACTTATGACTGTTATAGATCAAAAAATACAAATGCATGGTCTAATGCAAGAAATGGGAAGAGAAATTGTGCAGCAACAATCCCCTTCTAGGCCAGAAGAGTGGGATAGACTGTGGGATTTTGATGATGTTGATCGTGTTATGCAAAATGACAAGGTAGGTCTTGCTGATATTTTTTTAGGTTTTCCTCAAAACATTAATATTATAATATGTTAAAATTGATGTAATCTTACTTTGGATTGTTGTTACATAAATGTATTTATTCTCAGGTTAGTCCCAAAGTTAAAGCTATAGTCTTGGATCTAGAAGATTCACAAGGAAGAACATTAAATGCTGAAGCTTTATCACGCATGAGCAATCTTAGGCTGCTCATATTTCGTAACGTGAAATTTACTGGGGTCCTAACAGGTCTTTCAGAAAAGCTCACGTATCTTTCATGGCACCAATATCCTTTCACCTCTTTACCTTCAAGGTATAATCCGTTTATCCTTGGGGAATTGAATTTGACTGATAGCTGCATCACAAGTATATGGGATAGCTGCATCACAAGTGAATGGGATAGCTGCATCACGAGCGAAGGGGACAGCTGGGACTGGGATAGATGCCGAGAAAAAAGGGTAATATAATGTTAATTGTGTGCACGTACGCCCTTCTAACTTTTTGATATTTTTTGCTATAATTCAGGACTTTATTCATTCGCATGAGTTAATGCAAACGACTTGTTTATGAGAAATAATCAAAAATACTTATATATGATTTCTATTTAATAAAATGTATTAAGATATTTTATATTTTATATTTATATTTATGCTATGCATCTATATCAGATATGTGCCAAGTGTTTATGTGTGAAGTTTCTAATCAAAAACTGTGTCCGCCACCGGCGGCAACGAGAAAAGGTAATGCAATTGTGCGTGCGTACCCTTCTGACTCACAGATACTGTATGCCTAATTACCTCATACACTATTTTTCATTCACAGGTTTTCCGATATTTGAGAAACATGAATCTCAGTGGCTCCAAAGATCTAACCGAGATGCCAAGTTTCTTTAAATTTCCAAGTCTTGAGAGGCTAGACCTTGAACGATGCATTAAATTATCACAGCTTCATGCATCCATTGCTGATCGTTCAGAGATCAAGTTCTTAAATTTGAGAAATTGCATTAATCTTGTTAGTATTCCCAACAATTTATTTTCTCTACCTTCTTTAGAAATGTTAAATTTAGCTGGATGTTCCAAATTTGCCAATTGTATTAACTTCTCTTCTTTTGAGGAGGAGGATGGTGAGAGAGAAACTACTTGTAAATTATTTTCTCGAAAGAGAGACAGAAGCTATGTAAAAACAAATCTATTTAAGTGCACTATTTGTTAATCAGAAATATAATGCTGTATCATTAATTATTCATATTTATTTTTAATATGTATATCCTCTCTCTTATTCTTCTCTTTCTTACTTTCTCAACTCCCCTATTTTTTTCTATATTATAAAGATTAAAGTATATTTTTTATCCTCTAACTTTAAATAAGGTTTTAATTTTTTTTTGTTTTTATAATGTATCTTTTCAGTCATTTAATTTTAACACCGTTTAAGTTTAAATCTTTTAAAATAACAATGATTAGTATAAAAAATAATTATTTAAAATTCATGGTGTTATAATTAAATGACTGAAAATATATTTTATAAAATTAAGGGATAAAAGTGAAACCTTGTATAAAATTAAAAGATTAAAAATATACTTTAGCTTATTATTAATGACATATATAATTAACTTTCTTACTGTTGAGTATTACAACGAGAACATTCTCTGTGATGCCAATGCACAAAGCTAATCACAGAGTGTTGCTAGTAAAAAATGTGGAGATTAAAGTTTATTAACATTAACAACAAATAATTCAACTTATAGTGAACTTATTGATTACATTTCACCGCACAAAGAACCAAGCTCGGTCCACTTTACTTTTTTTTTTTTTTTGCATTGTCCATTTTGTCTTGATTTATATACTAATATTGAAATCATATTCAAGTATTTATATAATTTTTCGAAGTTATACATTTAAAAATAATTAAATTTATGATTTATCGTTAATGAGAAACTATAAATCGCTTTTAGATCCACAAGACGTAAGACAAGAGTTATTAGAAAGGTATCATCCCAGTTTTTTTTGTCTAAACTTATATACTTAGCTTTATACATTTAAGGTATGTGTTTTCAATTAAATCAAGACATATGTATTTTTTATAAATTATTTAATCTGTAATAAATTCTTGTTATTAATATTAACATATTAAAATCTGCATGCCTTGATTTGATTAGATAAAAACATATTAAGTTGATAAAGCTAAGTATATAATTCTTGCTCTTTGCAAAATAGTAAAAAATTATGATGAATCTTGGTAAGAATAGAGTCGGGAATAAGGGTCGGGCTTGATGGGATGCCCGTTTAAGCCCGTTTTAATAAGGGTTCGGGCTTAAAAATTTGGTACTTTTTGAGATAACCGAGCTTCAAAGCCCGGCCCTTTTAAGCCCTAAAAAAAGAGGTTCGGGCCCAGGCGGCTGTGAAGCCCGTTTTACTTTCTTTTTTTTTTTTGGTATTGTAGGTGATGATGATGAAGAAACCCGTGAAGCCCTAAAATTTGGTATTGTAGGTGATGATGATGAAGAAGCTGCAGAGATAGTTGATATTGAGCCTCCACCTCCATCTTCCACGAGTAGACCTACATATGAGAGTTTCAATATTTTATTTGTGGATGATGATGATGGAGATCTTGATTAGGATTGATGATGATGTTTGCCTTCATCTTATTTGGACTTTTAAATTTTTTGTTTATTTTTTAGATTATGTGATACTTTGGTTGAATGTATGTTGAATTTTAAAATATTTTAAGTAAATTTTAATGTTAAATTTTATTTTATTTTATTTTATTCCTATCAGGGCTTATGGGCCCGGTCCTAAGCCCTTTGAATAAAGGCCGGGCTTCAATTTTAGGGTAAAATTAAGGTAAATGGGTTTTAGGGCCTAGGCCCATAAGGGCCGAGCCCATATGAATTAGGCCCGCCCGTTTACCAACTCTAGGTAAGAATAATAATAACATCGTATTAAACAAATGTGGGGTTTGTTCTATTAAAGGAAATGTACTTTTTCATTCTCTACACCTCCCGTAATGAATTATTATGTGTCTTCACTTCTGCAAGTCCAAAACATTTGAAGTGCAATAAATATTTAATGTAAAATTTTTGGGAAAATTATTTCGGAAAACCTGAAAAAAATAATATTTATTATAAAGCATGTTAAAAATAATAATTATTGAGAAGGACCAAATATTAAAATATAAATTTTAAAATACAAAATTATCCCTAGTCAAATTTCCTATATTTTTTCTAACCACGTCTCAAATTGAACTTGGCAATTACGTTACTGGCAATGGTAAAAGAAGCAAACAATGCTAGAAATCATAATAAGTGAAAAATTTCTTGTACATTAAAGATTTGCGAATAAGACCTATAAAGATAAGTTGACACTAAAAAAATCTTTTCGAACCAATTAAAAAATAAAATGTAATAATTTTTTTAAAAACAAATTTTTTAAATTATATTGATTTAATTTTTTAGAAGTAATGATTTTAAAATTATATTCAATTAATTATTTAAGAAATAATTATTTTTTAAAGTATATTGATTTAATTAAAATTTAAAACTGTATTTTTGTTTTCATTTGTGTGGAATTGAAATCTGCACGACTTTATTTTTCAATATTTTTTGTAACTTATACGGTATAGTTAATTTTAAGGTATTGTTAATAAGGTTTATATTAAGGTTAGAATAGTTAATTACATTTATCTTGGTCCTTCAGCCTAATTTAAATTTTTATGGTCCTTTATAATAAATATTATTTTTCAAGTCCTTAGCAATAATTTTCCCAAAAAAATTTACTCAGCTTTTCTTTCAATTTTATTTAACTATCATGTACAGAAAAACAAAATTTAGGACAATTTTTTCATATATTCTTAAATATTAATTTTAAAAAATGAGCGAGTAAAAAAATTATTTTTTTCCTACCATACAGACATCAAAACCAAAAAAGTGTGTTGAGTAGTATTGAAAAAAACGAAAGGATGGAAAGAAATAAAATAGGGGGAAAAAATATATCATTCAACTTTAGTACCAAGCAAAGGAAGGGGTGTGGCATGTTTGATATTTTGTCTAGGAGTGGTGACTGAAGACCGAACGACCAATCACTCTCTTTAATTGGTTTTGAATATTTTTGTTGAGAATGTTTTCATTTATCTAAATTATGAATTTAAAAAAAGAAAGTATTTTCCATAGATAAGAAAGTACTAAAATATATTAAAAAATGAGATTTAATTCCCTCGATCGATATGATAACTTCCTATTAAGGGATCCAAATCTTAACTTTATATATAGGGTGCATCATTCTAGGAATCTAAAATGTATGTATAGGTTTCTATATGATATTTTATTCTTTATTGCTGTATAAACAATAATTATGTATTCCAATAAAGAAGAATAATTATTTATTTTTAAAATCATTTGTTTACACTTAGCAAGAATTAATTTTATAAAATGATTAAAAAAGGTAAAATATATTAAAGCTTTTTTATACAATATTTTAATCTTTATTTTTAAATTGATAGATAATAATTTAACCTGTTTTTTAACTTCAATATTTCACAATTTATTATTAATATTTTTTAAAAAAATTATCTGACCGCAATATCAATTTATTTATAAAATATATAAAAGAATTAACTATACAAGTGATTTTAATCTTAGACCCTATATGTAGCTTTTAAAATTTTTTTAACATTTTTTCATCAATTAATGGTCATAGTTTTGCACTATTTTCAAATATTACAAATGAACATTACACCAAAAATAAGTCTAGAATTCAAAATGCTCTTTAATCTATAATTTAAAGACTAAATTACACTTTAAATCTTAAAAAATCCCATGTCTTTTAAATATTTACAACTATTCAAATGCAATTAAATTAGCTGCAAAATTGGTAAAATATGTTATATTTTTACATATTTATTTTATTTCTTTATCTATATGCAAGAACATTAAAAAGGCTAATATAATGAAATGAAGGGAGTGATCTAATATATATTCAAATAAAAAAGCATCAATTATAAAAGAATTAATGAAAATATAAAATAAAATTTAAACCATCTAAATCTTTCATTATGAAATACACCAAATCACAAAAATATGCACAAAAACCACGGTTACTTAATAAAAATTTAATTTTTTAAAAAATATATAAAAAAGTATATTTTATATTTTTATAAAAATAAAAAGGAATTAATTTTAAATTAAAAATTTTTTTAAATAAAAAATTTAATAATTTAAATATTTGGGCTAGCTCAATAAGCTCCAAGCTTGAGGGCATTAGATACAAACTTGGCCATATAAGCTTTTTTTTTTTTTTTAATGTGTTTAGACTAGCTTGAATAAGTAGATTCGAATTGATCCCAACTCAAGTAACCTTACCTGCTCTACTTCAATGTCCAAACACAATTATATTATAAATTGATGTAATACATTTTTGGAGTGAATGTTGCATTGGCCTGGCTAGCTTGTGCATTCTACGAGGCATCCTGCGGCCAACAACAAGTGCTAGCTCTCGCAAATTGATATAAAGCTCATTAACATGTGGAAAGCCGTTACCGTCTCCGCCAACTTTTTCCTTAATCAACGGAAAAGTAAACAAAAGTTTAAGGTGAGTTTATCCTTTTTTACTTTATAATTTATAAATATGACCAAACAGAATATAAAGCTGCGGTCTTCTGTCTCAATTAACGCGTGTAAAGCTTTTATTGTCTGAGGTCTTGTCCATTACAAGGAAAGAGGTGTTTGATTTTATTTTTTATTTTTTGGGACAGAAGAGGTGTTTAATTGTTAAGGTTGAAATTTCCGGCGAAAGAGGTACGAAGGGTTTCGAAGTCTAACTTCCTATGCAAGTCTGTCTCTCTTTCACATAACAAGAACAAAAATGTTTTGTTACATTATTATCTTGCTTTTTACATTACGTGATGTTGGTTTGAATGGTTGGCCAAAAAAAAAAAAAAGATGTTGCTTTGAATAAGTTATGACTTACGACGGAAAAAAGGGGGGTTTAGAACTTAATAGTTACATTTCGAATTTTTTTTTAAAAAAAAGAACATAAGTCACAAATATCCATTCAAATAATTATAAATATAAAATTTTCATTGTGAATTGATTCATAGATTTTTCTCGTTATTCATAACTGAGAATTTCATATTTGTAAACTGTTTAGGTTGGCCTACTTAAACCATGTGAGAAAAAAAAAATCTAGAAGGGGATGTGATTCCGTCTTTCTTCCACCTCACTTTCT